TATTCGGGGCTTCTTTCCAATCCAAATTAAACTGGAGATTGCCTTTTCCATCTTGTTGAAGAATGGAATTGGTATTTGTATTGGGATTGCATTAAAAGTGTAAATTGCCTTTGGTAGTATTGTCATTTTCACAATATTGAGTCTTCCTATCCATGAGCAAGGGATATTCTTCTACTTCTCCAGGTCTCTTTTTGTTTCTTGTAGTAATGTTTTGTCATTTTCTTTGAATAGATCCTTTGTGCTGCTGGTTAAATTTATTCCCAAGTATTTAATCTTGTGATTAGCTATTGTGAAGGGTATTGTTTTTCTTAGTTCCAGCTCTGTATTCTCTTTTTCACTGTAGAGAAATCCAACTGATTTTTGTATGTTGATCTTTTATCCTGCCACTTTGCTAAATTGGTCCACTGTATCCAATAGTTTTCTTGCTGAATCTTTAGGGTTTCTAAGTATACTATCATATCATCTGCATAGAGAGATAATTTTACCTCCTCTTTGCCAATTTGGATACCTTTTATTCCCTTCTCTTGTCTTCTTGCTATCGCTAAGACTTCTAAAACAATATTGAATAAGAGAGGTGATAGTGAGAATCCTTGCCTAGTTCCTGTTCTTAAAGGGAATGCATCCCTCCACCTTTCTAAGCACAGGGTCCCTCTCCAGAGAATTATCTTAGCAGAATGCTCGAAGTATGTGAAATAAAGGTTTATCATCTTTGCCTCCAAAGAGCACTCTAGCTGCACCTTCTTCAAGACATACTCAGTTTTATATTGGCAGTCCATGGGATATTCAATACTCTTCTTCAACACCAATAAAAGGCACCAATTCTTCTGTCATTCTTACTCAGTTGTCCAGTTCCAGATGCATAGCAAGTGACCATGGCCTGAATCAGGCTCACCTTAGGAGCCTAATATTATTACACATTATGCCACCACGGTCCCTTCAAGAGACTATTATTCCTTCCATAACTGTTCATCAGAGAGGGCAGTGGTGGATCAGGGGTAGAATTCTCATTTTCCACTCAGGAAAGCCAGGTTCTATTTCTGGCCAGTGACCTCATACATAGCCACCACCTGTCTGTCAGTGGAAGCTGTAGGTTGTTCTAATTCTAGAGATTCCAGCAGAGCATACAGAGTAAGTTAGCATAGGAAGAAAGCCCTGGTGGTCTAATTCTGAAAATCCACCATCGAGAAACCCTATGTGTCTGAACTCCTGACTTTCTGGTCATGGACGGGGGACAATCCCTCAAAACTATTGCCCTGAAATCACCTCTAAACCTTAAATACAAATAACTCCTGGAATTTTCTTAATGCCAAATTGTAGTTTAGCTTAACTAGTAAAAAATGTCTGTCTTGAACATTACTAGGCTCTTTTAAGAACTATCTCGAGGGAATCAAAGTGCCAACAGAAATTTGAATGATTAGAGCCTCAGAGGGCAGTGAGTTTATGTTCTGAGGGAGGAATAACTAAGAACAGGAAGTGAGAATGTTTGCACAAGCCAAGGATCTAATAATCAGTGTCACCACCTCTGACATGTAAGAAGAGCTGAATTGGTGTATATTTTGTGTGTGTATCTCAACCCAAACTCATTGCTGCTGGGCAGGAGCCCACTCACAGTGACCCTCCAGTGGGTTTCTGAGGCTGTAAACAGCATGGGTGGAGACTGCCCACCTTTCTCCCGAGGGGCTGCTGGTGGGTTCAAACTGCCAGAGAGATGCCACCTTTGACTTAGCAACAAAACTCCGTACTAACTATGTCACAGAGCTTCCTACAGTCTTGACAAAAACAAAACAAATTCTAAAGTTAATGAATTAATTTTTTTTAAAAACCCCTTATGAGTCACAATGATTTCATTCACAAGTAGTCCCGAGTCCAGGTGACCTAACAACAGCTAACAATTCCTGCGTTCTGACTGAGATGCCTTCTGCCCCTCACTGGGACCCTGACAATCTCAGTTCCCTATTTTCTGCATGCTTATCCCAGATTCTGTGTGAAGTCATTCTTTACCTCATATAGGCTTATGTGCTCCAGGAAGACCATGATGCTGCTATAGTCTTTCTTAAGATTAAGATTAAAAGGCTTAGAGAGAACTCAGAGAGTTCTTGCTGGGATTTGAACCCAAGTCTGTCTGCCTCCTATGCCCAAACTCTCTTTTTCAGTGTCCATTGGCTGCTCCCGCCAGGTCTAGGCTCCAGTTGCTCTTGTTTCTGGGAAAGCCCTCCGTGAAAGCTTGAGGACACCTTAGCTCTGCATATCCACGGCCTGCCTAGTCAATACAGTCCAGCCCTTATTCAGGGATTGATTTCTCATCAAGACAGTAGCCTTCCCCATTATGGTCTGAGAGTAACAAGGAAGGAGAAAGGAGAGGCTAAAATCTAAGGCAGTCAGCAATCTTTGGGCTTGATCACTTAGTGGCTGTGTGACCCTACACCAACCACTGCATATCTCTGGACTGTATTTTCCTCATGGTCACAGTGAGATACTAACAGTAAATCCAAAGTAAGGCTTCCAGGAGGAAGGGAGGAATGAATAGTGGCCAGCACATAGCATATTTTAGAAGTTCTCCACATGTGGTCAGGGACCCCTGGGAATTTCTGAGGTCTTCAGAGGATCAGCAAGGTCATAACTATTTTTATACAAATACTAGGATGTCATTTGTCTTTCTCCCCCAAGGACCATATGACCTGTGTTTCTGGAACAGATGGAATTCAGAAGCAGACAGGAGAACCCAGCTGTCTTTTATGAAGTCACACATCAAAGCAAGTTGCAAAATGAAAAAAGAGGTCTAATTGTCTTGCAAAATCTTTCCATTTGCTTTGGAATCAATCATGCTTTTTCACGGAACTGTGTTGTTGTGTCAATATGTAATAGATTTCTCATTGCTATTTTTTAAAATGTGACAATTTCTCAGTTTTTATTTTTAATACAGTAAATATCAATGGATATTATCTGTTAAAATGACAACTCTTTGAGGACCTCAAACATTTTTATGAGTGTTTTTTAAGGATCCTTATTTGAACCAATAAACAGCATCCTGCTAAACTAAGAAATACTGTTGTCAAGGATATTCATAATCGACGCCCATAGAAGCAGCTGTCAAATCAAATAAAGTATTGCATGAGGAAAGTCTGCAATTAAGGGCCTCTTTAAAATATTAAAGAGCAAGGATATCAACTTAAAGACTAAGGTGTGCCCAGCCCAATCCATGGTATTTCCAATTGTTCTATTTGCATGTGAAAGATGGGCAGTGATAAGAAAGACCAGAGAGGAATTGATATCTTTGAATTATGACAGTCAGAAGAATGAACAAATCTGTCTTGGATAACGTGCAGCCAGAATATTCCTTAGAAAGAAAGATGACTTTTCTCATATATATTTTGATCATGTTCTCAGGAGGGAGCAGTCCCTGGAGAAGGACATCATGCTTGGCAAAGTAGTTGTTGTTGTTGACTACCTTCGAGTAGAGCATGACTCATAGTGACCCTATGAACTAAAGGCCTGAAGCCCCTCTACAACTATTGACATTTATCAAAGTTCATAGAGTTTCCAGAGGCATGTTATTTAGGAAGTGGATGCCACTCCTGCTTCCAATGGCAAAGTAGACAACAGACTCTGAATGAGATAGACAGACACTGTGCCTGAAACGATGGGCTCAAGCATAGCAATGTTGGTGAGGGTGGTGTAGGACCTGGAGTGTTTTGTTCTGTTGTACGTTGGGTAGCTATAAGTTGGAACTCATTCCAAGGCACTTAATAATGACAATGACAAAGGGATCCTAGAGAGCCACTTATAAAATAATGTGGTTACTGTCCACATTCTTACACATTTACCTCTTTGCTTATTTGCTTCTGAGCCCCATAAGAATAGGATTTTTTGTTTTGTTTTGCCACCACCTCGAAGAGAACCTGACACACAGTATGTGCTCAATAAGTAATGGCTGCAGAGATGAACAGTGCTGTGATGACCTACTATTAGTTCAACTATGCTTCTAGACACCATGCAAAGCACATGATAAACAAAATGACTTAAGAGCCATTCTCATAAAGGCATAAGAAAGAGTTGAGGGGCCTGGGTTTGAATTCAGGTTCCTCCACTTGCTACCCTGGGCAAGTAAGTTCCCTCCTGGGGCCTCAGTTTCCCATTGGTGAAAGGAGGTTCACCCCAATCAGTCATGACACTCAGCGTTCAAGGGCAGGAGCAACCACAGCTTGGCAGGTAAGGCATTCATAGTTCCAATCACAGCATGTCAACAGCACATAACAGGAATGAGGAGACTCTAAACTAGGAGCAGAGAGTGGGGTGACCTGCTTTCTAAGAGTTCCTTGTTTCCCAAAGGAAGCCTGAGTTTGCTGTGTGTCCTTGGCCCAGATGCCTTACCCACTGTAACTCAGTTTCCCCATTAATTAAATGGAAGATGACAACAGCACCTATCTCTTAGGGCTGCCCAGAGGGGGTCAATGAGCACTCAGCACAGAGTCTGGTAGAGGAAACACTCAATTATTTGCACTCAGTGTAAAACATGCTGTTACCTCTGAGCCTTGGTTTCTCCCACTGGGAAATGGGTCAGATATCTATATGCTGCTTCTTTGCCAGTTGTTTCTTGGTTCTAATTCCTCTTCCCCCCCCCCCTTTGTACCACATGCAATAGGTGGTTTGGGTGCTTCTAACCATGACTAAGAGTTAGTCTCAGTCTTCCCTTTCTCTTCCTCCAACCCTTCCATCACATTGGAAACAAATCCCAGATAAAATCCTCTCTGTTCAAAATACCTTGAGTGGGACCCAACCTTGACCTAGGTCCCACTGTGGCATAGGGAGCTCCCATTTGGTCCAGCTACGCCATACCTGCAGCTTCTTGAGTTGGCTGTTGACAGTGGCCAAGTCCCCGCCTGGGTCCACATCTTGAAGCTGACTTTCCATGTGAAGGAGCTTCTTGTCCAGCTCAGCGAAGCTCTGGACCAGTTGGTCAGCCTTGCTGGCTTCGAAGAGCTGCCGGGCCTTGGCCTGGGTGGTGCTTTCTAGCTCTGCCCAGCACTGCCGGATCTCACCCAGTTTCTTCCGCACTGAGGCAGCCAGTTCTGGCTTCTCTTGCATCAGCTGCTGGCCCTCCTATTCCAGGTAAGTGGGTGGGCCAGGAGGGGTGAGTGGTGGGGAAGGACAGAGAGAGATGAGGGGACACAGGAAGAAACAGAGGCAGGAGTTGGAGATACACAGAGATAGAGACATGGAAGTGGATGCAGAAGCAGGCCAAGAGATAGAAGAAATGAAGGTGTGGGAAGAGGGATAAAGACAGAGAAAAAGAAATAGAGGGGAAACGTGAAACAGCCAGGAACACACAGACAGACAAAGGCACAGGGAAGATATGGGGAGAGATACAGAGACATAGGAGAGAGAGAGACAGGCTCAGAACAATGAAGAGAGAGACATACACATTCAGAAACATGAGAAAGTCATCAGACAAGTGAAAGTATTAGAGAGAAAGAGAGACAGAGTGAGAACAAATTGTTATTAAACTTAGGTCAAGAAGGCTGGCTTTGCCACATCCCACTATTTATGTGTTGGAGGCTGACCTGGGCTGCTCCCCTTGATTCAGGGGTGCCAGTCAAGAAGTTCAGTCAGAGCACAGGCAGTTATGAGGATTTACAGGAAAAATCTGCCAAGGCAGAAGAAGTCCAGCTTGCTGGTCCAGAGCCACAGACATTATATTATATATTAATAATCACAGTGACACTGTAATTATTGAGCATAGTTACCTGGCCTTGTGTTAGCACCCTAGATACACAAGAACCTAGGGAAACAGTTACATTTATTATTTCCTTAATTTTACAGTAGAACAAATTGAGGCATAAAGAGGTTAAGGAATTGGCACCAATAGAATTTCTATATTAAATGTCCCAAACAGCTTGGAAGGCAGCCTGATGGGGAAGGGTATAAATGGAAGGGGGATATTTACCCACCCTCATGAGAGCATGTGGACACCATTTAGAATGCACATTTTTGGCCACTTTGTTGGCTCAAAGAGGCAGCATAAAACTTTCTAGGAGCAGGTGCAGAGATGAGCTATCTGACCCAGTCCAAGGTGCGAGGAGGCCAGCCTGAAGGCAGCAGAAGCTATGGGTGCTAAGGTGGCCTCACCCTTTCAATCTTCTCCAGCCATTCCTTATTCTGAGCCAGCTCGGCCATGAACGTCTGGTGCCGGAGCCATCTCTTATGCAGCTTGTGGCTGTCTTCTCGTGTGCCATCTCGCGCCATCAGCATCTTCTCATGGATCCAGCCATCCAGCTGTATGGGATGAGGATGGGCTCAACTGGTTCCCCCCACAACTTGGCAACATTTCCCATTCCCTCATCCCTACCATGACATCCCAATTTCAGGGCCCGGACTACTAGCACTGTGGGGTAGAAGGAGGGGAGGAAAAAAGTCTTTTCAAGTGAGGCCTTTACAAGGGTAGGGGTGGGGAGGACAGCTCAGGCTCTTTTCTGGGGGTGGAAGAGGGAAGGAGGGGTCTTCAGAATTTCCAGTCCTTTGTCTCCCCTGTCCTGACAATAGCTCTTCTCTCTTTCCCACAACCTTCCAGGGCAGAGTTTCTCATATAGGGACAAATCCATTCCCCAAAATAAGCCCTTCAAGCTAACTCAGCAATTCTCCCAATCCTCCAACACGCCCCCCCAAAATATTTAGACCTTTAATTCCAATTTCATCTTGTAGACATCATGTGCCAGAAAGTTAGAACTAACTCATAGCTGACCCTCCAGCAGATTTCAGAGGCTGTAAATCACACTGGAGGAGACTGCCCATCTTTCTTCTGTAAAGCAGGCTGGTGGATTCAAACTTCCTGCCCGAATTGACAGTGCAACTCCTTACCCACTAGGCCACCATAGCTCCCTAATTTCATCTTAATGTCAACCGACAATAATTTAAGACCATCCAGCCCCCCAGTGCATTGTATGAAACCACCATATCTAGCACCAGATCCCCAAAATAGCTAGAACAAACATCCAATCTCCCAAGTAGAGTTAAATCTAACAGCTTTCAAATCTGGAATAAATTATCCCCAGAACCAGCTCTGTTTTCCCAGCGTGATCCCACACTACTCCCCAAACCCAGATCTGGGATTCCAAAACCATTTCCCAAATCATGCCCAATTCTAGTATCCAACCAAAGCCAATCCCTGAACAGAACACCAAAGCTCTCTGCTTCCTTCCCAAATTAGTCTATCTGAAAATCTAGCCCCAGACCCCCCAATATGAACCTGGCAAGCTGTCCCCCTACAAAAGTGAAAACCACTTCTAACTTGTCTACCCATCAACAAAACCAGTCCACCTAAAACATAAACACCAAGAATAGGTTCCTCTCATTATCCTGGGCAGGACCAATTACAAAGCTGATTTCTGAGTCCTTTCCCCTCAAAGGAGACATGTTTCCCCTCCCCCCCAAAAAAAACCAACCAGAACTTCTTCACTGATGACCAAACCTGGCACCTGGGGCAGTTTGCTCCTCCCCTCTCCCCGCTTCTAATCACAAGGCTCTCCCCCTCCCTCCAGGAAAAGAAAAAAAAGAAAAATCACCAAAAACCTAAACACCACACAACTCCAGCTTGGGCCCGAGGCAAATGCAGTCATAGCCAAGGACAAATCCCGAGCCGGCCAAAACCCCGCCCTGAGTCCCCCTGGGAACGTCAGCTTCCCAGGGGTCCCAGGCAGTTTTACACACACACACACACACACACACACACACACACACACACACACATACTCTGGGCAAGGCAAAAGCTAAAACCCCCAACTCAAGTCATAGGTTTACCACACGCAGGGAGCAGTCCGCAATGGCAATCACAGCCTCCCAATGAGGGCAAATGCCCCTAAAGGAGATCAGACCCCATCTTTGAGAGAAAGCCCTCTGGAGGTGACTGCCCCCAATCACCGAGGACAAAACCTGAGTCCCCGACCACCAAGGAAGAGCTCCCAGAAGTCGGAGACCCTCTAAGTTATGGAAAATCCAGGGTCCTCATCACCCAAGACAGACCCCCCCCCCAAAATGATTCACCTCCATCATCCAAAGCTAATACTGATTCCGCAAGAAGCGAAGAAATCCCCAAAACGTTGAGTCTCCCAACTCCTGGGAATATGCCAGTTCCTCATCACCCAGAGAAGAACCCTCAGAAAGGTTAAGACCGCCTAGACCCGCAAAACAAATGCAGACTCCCCCAGGAGTAGTCTCAGAAGTTCCTAGGCTCCACTTCTCTCCCCCGGCCGGCCCCTCGGTTCCGCCCGCGCCAGCACCGCGGACAGCTCCCGGCGTCCCTGCCCCTCCCCCAGGGCGGGGGTCTCGGCACCGCCCCGCACGCCGCACGCCCC